TCCAGCTACTCGGGCTGCTGAGGCAGGAAAATTGCTTGAACCCGGAAGGCGGAGTTTGCAGTGAGACGAGATCGCGCCACTACACTCCCGCCTGGGCAACAAGAGCAAAACTAAGAAAGAAAGAGAGAAGAGAGAAGAGAGAAGAGAGAAGAGAGGAGAGAGAGAGAGAGAGCGCAAGAGAGAGAGAGAGAAGACAAAAAGAAAAGAAAATGGCCCACTTGAGAAGAAAATAATGGGAGATGATAGGCACAGTGAATTTCTTTGGGGCCCAATTTTTGAAGCTGACCCCACATTAGATTTAGACTAAGGAAGATAAGAAAATAAAGTCTCTCAAGAAAAAGCCCAATAGAGAGAAGACAGTTAAGTGAGAAAATACAGAGTCCCACAGTGCAAGAAGTAAGAGAAAGGTTTCCACAGAGTCATTCATGGAATTTCTAAAAGATGAAAGGATAAAATAAAGTACAATTACTGGTGGGATTTGAGATCCTTTGATGAGTTCAGAAGCTAAATTTTCAAAAGTTCATCTCAAGTTTTTCTGCTAATAGAAAGATATATCCATTTTTAACAACGTTTCATTCTGGAAGAAATTGAAAGGCAACATTATTCAGCCCATGGGGTAAGTCAGAAATGGAATCATCCTCGAAAATACCTATTCCTCAAACTTTATTATGTCCAATTGATTGTTAAGTTCCTTTATGTTCTTACTCTTTGATATCTCTATAATTTGTCCATGTTCCTCCATCTGTGTTTTCCCCACTCTAGTCCCGGCTTCTGGTAACTCTTACTAGAGCCACTGTAACAGCCAACTAACCTGTCTCTCAGCGTTCACTGCTCATCTACCCCCAACTCATAGAAGTCTCTACTAAACACAGTAAAGTGGCCTCTTCCAAAGGCAAAGCTCATCATGTAGTCACACCCTCCCTGAAGCACTTCCTTAATTCCCATTATTTTCAGAATTAACATAAACATTAAAAACTTGTCTTATAAAGGTTGGCATAATTTGGTGTCTATTTTGTTAAATCTTTCAGCCTGTACAGATACATCCCTCCATTCTGTGCTGCCTACCATTCAGTATGTCTTGACTCTCCTTAAGTTCCTTACTATATAGAAAATGCTCAGGCCGGGTGCGGTGGCTCACGCCTGTAATCCTAGCACTTTGGGAGACAGAGGCGGGTGGATCACAAGGTCAGGAGTTTGAGACCAGCCTGGCCAACATGGTGAAACCCTGTCTCTATTAAATATACAAAAATTAGCCAGGTGCGGTGGTGTGTACCTATAATCTCAGCTACTCGGGAGGCTGAGGGAGGAGAACAGCTTGAACCCTGGAGGCAGAGTTTGCAGTGAGGCAAGATAGCACCACTGCATTCCATCCTGGGACAGAGTGAGACTCCAACTCAAAAAAAAAAAGTTCCAATATTTTTCAAAAAGACTGAATGTGTAATTATTGCTCCTAATGAGTATATGTATTAATTATTAGTGAGAAAACATTTTTGCTCAAATTTTGGTTGATAATTGTGAATAGAGTCTGCTAACTAGAAATAAGTCTTGATGATTTTCTCAATGATAAACTCACCAAATTACTGCTAGATACCAGTTCATAATTAAAGACAGAAAATTGTCTCCTATTTTTTTTAAGATAAAACATCTTTTGATCTTTATAATTCAGAGCCTTTTGGGTAATATTAAATATTTTTAATAAAGTACTTGAACATTTTACTGTAAGACTTTGGTGAATTTCTTGAGGGAAGACCACCTAACTGATTGTCAATCTTAGGAGACACCTAATGTCCTTTACTTGAAGTTTCAAGGAATATAATGACATTTCATCAGTCATTGTTCTTATTTTAAATCCAGTCTAACAATGATTATCCAACCACATTTCCCCCTGCCCTTGTAAAAAATTCTGAACAAAGAGGAAACCTTTGCATTCGCTTTTTTATAAAGACTGCTGTTTTTCAGCAAGTTCGAAATAAATATTTGAACAAGCTTATAACCAAACCATTCAATAAATTTTTTTAACAGTGCTAACCTGAGATCAGAAAAGAGCTAGCTTGAATACAACTGTATTTCAGTGGTCAAACACTCTCAGATCTATTAATGGTACTCAAGCTAGCCTTCTAGTATTGAAAAGGATTGTGAATAAAACCTGCACTTCCTATTGCCTTCTTTATGACATTTACCATTGCACAAATATGTCTGACTTTAAATTTTCAATAGACTTTAAAGCATAGGTGTTTGATGCATCTATACGGATTGTTGATTACTCTTTTCTCCATCCCCTTCCCAATCCTTCTACCAAATTTAGATTGAAGAGAAACTGTCTTTGGATATTCAGTCATGGCAAATAGTAAGTGCTCAATAAAGACACATTCAATAAGATAATAACTGACCCAGAAATCACAATATGCCAAACTTTAAGCAAATATTAGGATAATTCAATACTAAAAATTTAGAACTCAACCATGACATGTACACATATGTCTCACTTCAGCTATGTTCTCTATGTTGGGACAAATTACTGCTATTTTTGTAATGGTTAGGTGAACAGCATTCTCTTAGAACCTATCATTCAACCTGCTGGGTCAGGAAATAGGAACAGTTTTCCTGTTTTATTTGTTTAGCCTAGATCTATAAAAATATGTGCAAAGGGAAGTTGTTTATAAGCTTAAGTAAGGGAGGGAG